CCAGAATTGCACACAGTATTCCAGATGAGGTCGCACCATTGATTTATATAGCGGCATTATGATATTGGCTGATCTGTTTACAATACCCTTCCTAATAATCCCCAGCATAGCATTGGCCTTCTTTATTGCAGTCACACACTGTCTCGACATTTTCAGTGAGTTATCTACTACAACTCCAAGATCTCTCTCTTGATCAGTCTCTGCCAGTTCAGACCCCATCAACGTGTATTTATAGTTAGGATTTTTGGCTCCAATGTGCATCACCTTGCACTTGGCCACATTGAACCCCATTTGCCATGTTGACGCCCACTCGCCCATCCTTGACAGATCCCCTTGGAGTGCCTCACAATCCTCACTGGTTTTCACCACCCTGAACAACTTTGTATCATCCGCAAATTTAGCCACTTCACTGCTTACTCCCATCTCCAAATCATTAATGAACAAGTTAAAAAGCAGTGGACCAAGTACTGATCCCTGCGGTACCCCACTGCTTACCACCCTCCACTGAGAAAATTGCCCACCTACACTCACTCTCTGTTTTCTATGAACTAGCCAGTTTTTGATCCATAAAAGGACTTGTCCTTCTATCCCATGATTTTTGAGCTTACTTAGGAGCCTTTGATGAGGAACTTTATCAAAAGCTTTCTGGAAGTCAAGGTAAATAATATCTATTGGATCCCCCTTGTCCACATGTTTGTTCACCCCCTCAAAGAACACTAACAGGTTAGTGAGACAAGATCTTCCCTTACAGAAACCGTGCTGAGTCTGCCTCAATAGGTTTTGTTCATCTATGTGCCTACTAATTCTTTCCTTAATAATGGTTTCCACCAATTTACCCGGTATCGACGTCAGACTGACTGGCCTGTAATTTCCCGGATCTCCTCTGGAACCCTTTTTAAAGATGGGAGTGACATTAGCTACCTTCCAATCCTCAGGAATGGAGGCAGATTTTAAGGAAAGATTACATATCTTTGTCAGGAGATCTACAAGTTCACATTTGAGTTCTTTCAGAACTCTCGGATGTATGCCATCTGGGCCTGGTGATTTTTCAGTTTTTAAGTTGTCTATCAGTTTTAGGACCTCCTCTCTCGTCACCTCAATCTGACTCAGGTCTTTCAACACCCCTCCTGAAATCAGTGGTTCTGGAGTGGGCAAGCACTTCTCATCTTCCACAGTGAAGACGGAGGCAAAAAATGCATTTAGCTTCTCAGCCATTTCCCTATCATCCTTCAATACTCCTTTTACCCCTTGGTCGTCCAAGGGCCCCACTGCCTCCCTGGCTGGTTTCCTGTTTCTAATGTATTTGAAGAAAGTTTTATTGTTGGTTTTTACGTTTTTTGCTATATGCTCCTCATATTCCCTTTTTGCCTGCCTGACCTCAGACTTGCATTTTATTTGCCATAGCCTGTGTTCCGTTTTATCAGCCTCACTGTGACTAGCTTTCCACTGCTTAAAGGAATTCTTTTTACTTTTTACAGCCTCCATTACTCTGTTTGTTAACCATGCAGGCTTTTTCCTATACCTGTTTGTGCCTTTCCTAACCTGCGGAATATATATTTTTTGAGCTTCTAGGATCGTAGTTTTAAATAGATCCCAAGCTTCCCCAATTGTTTTGACCCTTTCTACTTTTCCTTTCAGTTTCCTCCCCACGTGTCCCCTCATATCAGAGAAATTACCCCTTTTAAAGTTAAAAATGGTTGTGTGAGTCTTTTTGGCCAATTCTCTATTTGTACAAATGATGAACTCAACAACATTATGATCACTGTTTCCAAGCGGTGCAATCACTTTTACATCTCTCACCAGGTCTTGAGTGTTACTTAGGACCAAATCAAGGATCGCCTCTCCCCTGGTAGGTTCCGTGACCATCTGCTCCATAGCACAGTCATTTAGAGTGTCTAGAAACTCAATCTCTTTTTCCCGGCTAGAACACATATTGACCCAATCAATGTGTGGGTAGTTAAAATCACCTATTATTACACAGTGTTTTTGTCTAGTTGCTATCTTTAAGGCATTCATCATTTTATAATCCTCCTCTATCTTTTGATCTGGTGGGCGATAACAAACTCCCAGTGTTAAGTTTCCTTTTGGCCCCCCTATTTCAACCCATAGAACTTCCAGAAGCGAATCCAATTCACTTAGCCTCTCAATCTTTCTAGACTTTATACCCTCTCTGACATACAGAGCTACCCCACCTCCAACCCTTCCCCCCCTATCCTTCCGATATAATATATAACCGGGAATCACTGTGTCCCACTGATTTTCCTCATCCCACCAAGTTTCAGAAATACCCACAATGTCTATTTTTCCCTCCGACACCAAGCACTCCAACTCCCCGATTTTACCTCGGACACTTCTAGCATTTGTATAGAAACAGCTGTAATTTCCCTTACAAGTTAAGCCTGCATCCTTCCTCTTGCTATCTCGAGTCGTTGTCCGGCAGTCCATGTCACCAGCCATGGCCTCTGTGGACAATTTCAATCCACCTCCCTGTAGAAAAGCAACAGGTACCCCCTCATCTCTCTGAGATGAGCCAACCCGAACCAGAGACTTTTCATCTCCTGTCGGCTTTCCCCCAATATTCAGTTTAAAAGCTGCTCTGCCACCTTTTTGATTTTAAGTGCCAGCAGCCTGGTTCCTTCTCGGGACAAGTGGAGACCGTCTCGCCTGTACAGCTCCCTCTTGTTCCAAAAAGTATCCCAGTGCCTAACAAACCTGAACCCTTCCCCTCTACACCATCGTCTCATCCACGCATTGAGACTCCTGATCTCTGCCTGTCTCTCCGGCCCTGCGCGTGGAACAGGTAACACTTCTGAGAAGGCTACCTTGGAGGTCCTGGACCTAAGTTTCCTGCCCAGCATCCTAAATTTCTCCTCCAGGACCTCACGACTGCATTTCCCCACATCGTTGGTGCCGACATGCACCACGACCACTGGCTCCTCCCCAGCACTATCTACCAGCCTATCTAAAACACGCGTAATGTCCGCTACCTTTGCACCAGGCAGGCAAGTCACCATACGGTCAGTACGCGGGTTCGCCACCCAGCTGTCTACCTGCCTAAGGATCGAATCACCCACTACCAAGAGCCCCCCTCCCACCCTGCTCAGGGATGGTTCCTTGGTGCAAAAGGATACCCGCTCACCAGCTGGGGAAGAGGTCCCTTCTGAGGGCACATTCCCCTTATCCTCAGCATGGTGCCCTGTTTCCCCTAGACCCTCATGCTCCCTGACAGCAGCGGGGCTGCCAGATCCAGAGTGGGACGTAGCTAACAAGTCCCCGAGAGTCTTTTCTGTGTGCCTAGCTGACGGTCTCTGCTTCTCCAGGTCAGCCACCTAGGCCTCAAGGGAGCACACACGTTCCCTGAGAACCAGGAGCTCCTTGCACCGAGCACACACTCAAGACTTCTGCCCAGTGGGCAGATAGTCATACATGTGACACTCCGTGCAAAACACTGGATAGCCCCCAACCCCCTGCTGGCATTCTGGCTTCATAATTCTTTTAAAATAAGTAAATGTAAGCCCCCTTTTAAATCCCTTTGTATTTATGTGTTTTTTTCTTGTCAAAGTCAAATTACTTTACGGGGAAAACAAAGAGCCTAGGGTTTTCACTTTCTGCCTCTTCTTGGGCGTCTCACAGAGCCCCTAGTCCAAGAGTCCCTGGGCTAAGAGCCACGGGCAAAGAGCCCTTTAGCTCACCCTTCGGCTCATGGCAGAGGTCTTAAATACTCGATTGCAGTCAATCACAGTCAAACAATGCCCTTTCCTCTCCCTCTCTCAAGCAGCCAGGAATCTGCAACAACTCTAAGCGCTTCCCCACACTCCCAGACCAGTTCTGCCACCAATATCCTCAGCTGAATCCTCTCAGCTGAAAGCAAGTAAAAAACCACTCACCCCTCTGTCTCCTGCTCCTGCTCAGAGCTCAGCTGGGTCTGAGTGATGCAGTCAATTCTACCTCCCCCAATCTGATAAGAACGTAAGAATAGCCATACTTGGGCCGTGATCACATGGGCAGTTTGGCCTGACACAGGCACTCCTCCCCTCCAGATGAAATGGGCACAGTCAGACAGCCACATCTGTCAGGTGTTCCCAAGCCATACTTATCCCATCACAGGACGACTTGGAGCTGGGTTAAAAAGCTACCACATTACAAGTGGTGTTTTCAGTTCCCCACACAGTCATCGTGCATGGCCAGATGTCTGAATGTGGGGCAGCGTGCGCAGAATGGATTGGGCAGTCCTGAACATGCAGATCTGTTCTGCCACTAGGGAGGCATCTTTTTTAAAAAAATGCCTATATGCACACACATGAATTTTGGAATCTTTTTGGCAGTGTGGTCTGTGGCTGAGGTGCTGCAATAATGTGGATGCTTTACCACGGGATGTCTCCATGGGTAACCCACAGCAGGGTGTGCTGTGTGGTTGATATGCCCCACAACACATTAAACCGGTTCAATTAGAGGCAGCACCATTTCGCGCCAAGCCACCAGTGTGGACACGGCTTTGGTCCATCCATTTAAGCTGATATAAGTTCAGATGTTTTCATAGCCTGTTAGAATGCTGGCAAGGAGGTGTCACCAATAGCCAGGTGGATCCCTAAACCAGTGTGGGATTGCCTATAAATCTGACACCTCTCAAGCACTCCAGTAGACTGTGTAACCTGTAGTAAAGGCTATGTGGTGTTTAATAGTTTGCTCAGCTCTTGATAACTGGAAACCAACCTAACCAATTTCATTATTCTGGTGTCTTTGTTTTGGAGTGGGAGGGTAAACTACCTATTCTCTACTAACTTCCTTGACTTTCCCCCCCTTTTCACATAGAAAAAGAAAATTCCAGGCAGACTGGATATTTTTGTGTTCTTCTTTATACCTAAACATCTATCAGTATTCTTCTGGCATCTTGTTTTGATTGCAACATGCAACATAATAAGAACTTAGAGACTCCAGATCATATATTTAATGAAAAGGTTAATGAGGAATGATCATGCATTATTATCTTTGTTAACTAGAAACTGATAATTGAACTGGGTAATATATTTCAGAAAAATAATCCAGATCAAAATTCAGATATCAGACATTTGTGATTGCTACTTGTCCTCAAGATCAAACAAGGGCACAATTCAATCAAAAGCAACTTTAAATCCCAAGAAAGTTAGACATGCATTTTGTTCTCCCACTGGAATTAATGAGAAGTAAATATCTATTTTGGCCACCAAATGAGAAGGGAGCACTCATTGGAGAAGACCCTGATGCTGGGAAAGATTGAAGGTCAAAGAAGACGGGGACGGCAAAGGATGAGATGGTTAGACAGTGTCATAGATGCAACGAACATGAAATTGAGCAAACGTCAGAGGACGGTAGAAAACAGGAAGGCCTGGCGGGATCTTGTCCATGGGGTCGTGAAGAGTCGGACTCGACTGTGCAACTGACCAAAAAAAAAAAATCTATCTAGATTATTTCCCACCTTTCTTCCAAGGATCCCAGGGCAGCACAAATCCTTTTCCCTTCCCCATTCTATGCTCAGGTTTTACATGAGACTGAGAGACAGAGACTCATCTAAGGGTATCTGGTAAACTTCATAACAGAACTGGGATTTGAATCTTGTTTTCTCAGATCTTAGCCTGACACCATAACCCCATCACACTGTTTCCAAAGCTGCTTAACATGAACTTTGACCACCTGGAGAGTGGTGGAGTGGAGAGATCAATTGACAAAATTTGCTTTCACATTAGTGGATTATTTGTTATAAGACTTTTTTTCTACTGTGCAGAAATGCTTACTTGTGAAACTGTCTTGGTTTTCCTGAATTTTCAGTGTAGTTCTAAGTAGAGTTGTGCCTAGGGTTTCCAACTATGGATTAGGAAAAATACAGGAGATTTGGAAGTGGAGGACCCTGGGGAAACCAGGGCTTGGGGAGGGGAGGGCCCTTAGCAGGGCATAATGTCATAGAGTCCACCCTACAAAACAGATATTTTGTCTGGGGGAACTGACCTCTGTAGTCCAGAGATCTGTTGCTATTCTGGGAGATTGCTAGGGCCCACCTGAAGGTTGGCAACCATATAACACTTCTGAGTTCATTGACTTTAGTGGACTTAGAAGGGTGTAACTTTGCTTTGAATTGCACTCTTATTCACAGTTTGACATGTACCATCAGCAAAGTATATATTTTTCTTTGATTGTGATACCCTATAATTTAGATTATATGAGCTATATGAAGCTTGTATATGAGATTCAGGGAATTTCAACATGGAGTATTTTGCTTCACGATAGGAAGTGTGTTTCATGGTCTATCCTATTCTAAGCCTACAAATCCGTATTTCTATGTATTTAGTCACAATTTCAAAGTGTGGCAGAGATTAACAATTTGAAACTTGAAGTCATTCTGAGATTGCCTTGTAAATGTCCTATGCCTTGAAAAAAATCCAAGCTTTAAGAATTACTTCTTTAAGAACTGTGTTCAAGTTCTCTGGAAAGATCATTCTTTTACTTATCAAATTATTTTCCCTTTTCTGAAATCACAATGTGTCTTCTTTCCCCTGAGTAGTCTATCACCGTTTCTTCTCACAACAGACCAGGGACTGCCTCAGTGCCAATTCCCTGTATAACTGGACATGATTTATATTTCTTCCAAGAAAATATAATCCTATTCCTTTTGGCCTGATTGGGAGCTTCAGCCTGCTACCCAGTCACTTTTTACCAAAATCTCTGTCATGTACTGGAATCAAATCATTCCTGATTGAATCACCCCAGAGACTGGCTGAGCTTGGAGCACAAGAACAATAACCTACCAGAATTCTGAAAGTAACCAATCAAGTAGTAATGTTATGTAAATAGACTATCACTGGAAGTGGGGTGTGTTTGGGTGTGGCAATTGCATGCTATTTAATACAGATGAGGTTCTGGAGTCTTGTCTTGCTCTTGCTGAAATCACAAATAATTGGAGCTGATCACTAGACTCACCTGCTCATTCATGGAACCCACTATTTAACAATCTCTAACCCCAGTTCTTAGCATCTGTGTGAAAACATACTTCAGCATAAGCTGACACTAGACTCTGAATTCGATGGAATTCTTTCTAAGGTTATGTTTAACACAGCGAAGTCCAGGAGTCTATCCCTTTATTCAAAAGGTGAACCTGTCTGATGGGGTTTTTTAGTCAGACTCTTCAGACATTCACTCCTTTTTAAAATTTTTATTGTATTAGACATTCACTCCTGAAGCTGAACTTTTACTTTCCTGAACAGTAACTGCTGCTGAACTGCCTCTCTGACTGACTGACTGATTGACTGACTATATAGTCTTCCTCAGCTGACACTAGCCAATCAAAAAAAAGGAGCAGCCTGTCACTCAAGCTTAACATTCTAAAGCAAAGTTAACTATTCATCTCCCTTCTCTGATTTTACTGCAATAGGAAGCAGTGTTTTAAATGTAGTCCATCACAGACACTCTTTGATTGGCCATTTTTCTGTAAATGTGCTTCAAAAATACTTTTTGCAGTATTTAAGTGACAGCTGCTTTGAAATAATGTAAATATTTTATGCAGCATAAACGATAATTGCATACCTTCATTTGAAAAAGCCCAAGAGTTCAAAGTAGCATCCGTGTTGATCTTAAACAGTTGTGAAAATTTAGAGAGTAAAATTAAACCAGCATTCTGCTTCTTTTGTTCTTCTATTTTGTAAACATGCATTAGTAGTTGCAAAATGTGGACTTTTTAAATATCAATTTCACTAAATCTTTCTGGCTTTGTTTTTGTTTTCTTCTCAGGCCTTCCATTTGTATGGTGAGACTTAGCCATGTTGCCAATCAGCTCAGATCAGAGCAAGATCTTCCCACGTACTTTTCTGATACTGGTAGAGAGAAGGGGAGCTGGGGGGGGGACAATGTTTCAGAGACCCTGGTCTCTGGGAAAGTCATGTGATGTGGTTTCATATATTTCTGTTGGGTCTACATGGTTTGAAGTTAGGACCTGGGGAATATTTGCCTGGGGGTCCTTGACTGATAATATCATGCTTAGATTCACAAGGACAAGCTTTGCGGGGGAAATGGAAGATGGGAAATGGTTTAAGTTTCTTTCAGTGGCTAGAATTTTCAAATCTTGAACAAGGCAGAAGTGGACATCAATACATCTAGTTTGCTAAATGATCAAAGAATTTTTGTTGAATAACTGCCATCACTCATCTTTTTTGAACAGTTTGATCATTTCAATGCATTTACATAGTACTGAACTTCAGTATAGGTACCTATTTGCTATACTGAAGACATCCAAAAATATTATTTTACAGCATTTCTTATCCAAAGGGACCCAGGGCAAAACCCAATTGTCATAAGAAAAGGCCATAATTATTATTTCATTTTTTAAATTTCACCCTACAGTGACACAGCAAAACTGAAATACCCTAAGTACTAAAATACTGATTTATCAACTGAATAGTACATTAGTCTATTTTTTAAAAAAATTCAAATGATGAAAATCTGAATAAGAACAATAGTGTAATATAACTTTTCATTTTTAAACTTTTTATGAACAACAAACATAACACAAACATATATACAGAAATGGGGTTTACCATTACATCATTAAGTTGTCTGTTTAAGTACATCATATAATATTTAGTTATCTATTTTCTATGTTTCACCTTGTATTTTTGTATAAGTCTTTTGCATAAAACTAAAGATGTAGTTTTTGTTCTTCTAAGTTGGTTGTATGTCAATATATTTTATTTGTTGTAATCTTCAATCCATTTGTAAAATCTTGACCATGTATTTTCAAAGCTTCTTTCAGTTTGTCCTCTCAACAATAAAGTTAATTTATCCATTTCTGCAGTTTTAAGCAATGTATTTACGGTTTCTTCTCTAGATGGTATTTCATCTCTTCTCCAATATTTAGAAGAAGAAGAAGAGATTGGATTTATACCCCGCCCTTCACTACCCAAAGGTGTCTCAGAGCGGCTTACAAACTCCTTTCTCTTCCCCTCCCCACAGAGGTTCATTTTCTTTAACATAAAAACAGCAGCAGTGATTGGGGTGGGAATTAAGCTATGTCTGGGTTGAGGGTTGGAGGGGTGAGTGTGTTGGAAAACTGAAATACAGCTATTGCAATGTTTCAGTTATTTTTGTTCACTTTAGACTCCCTTCTTTATGGTCAGTCAACCTCCAAGAGTGGAAGAAGAAGAAGAGATTGGATTCCCTTCACCCTTCACTAACCAAAGGTGTCTCAGAGTGGCCTACAAACTCCTTTCCCTTCCCCTCCCCACAAGAGACACCCTGTGAGGTAGGTGGGGCTGAGAGACCTCTTGACAGAAACTGTTCTTTTTCAAGAACAGCTCTTATCAGAGCTATGGCTTGCCCAAGGTCATCCAGCCAGGTGCAAGTGGAGGAGTGAGGAATCAAACCCGGTTCTCCCAGATCAGAGTCCGCGTACTTAACCACTACACCAAACTGGCTCTCATTTATTTAGCGTATAATATTCTCGCTGTTGTCACTACATGTATAATAAGAATGGGATCTTGCTTTTTACAACTTTCTCATAGTACGTTTAATAGAACAATTCTCATACATAAGGTATAGTACTCTTTAACATTTTTAACATTTTTTGTAATATTTCATGAATCCAAGACCAATATATTTTAACCCTGTCACACATCCACCACATATGAAAAAAGAACCAACTTTTTTTTTTAATTTCCAACATTCATTAGATAAATTTGGGTAAAACTTTGATAGTTTATCTGGAGTGATATACCATCTATAAAATGCTTTATAAATATTTTCTTTATATGAAATTGCTTTCGTCATCTTTACATTTTTTTCCATACCTGTGACCATTAATTCAAATCAATACTATGACCCAAGTTTTTGTGCCCATTTAACCATAGAGTTTTTGACTACTTCATTGTGTGTCTTATTTTCTAACATTAATACATGCAATTTCTTAATTAATTTCTCATCATCATACATCAATATCTCATCCATTTCTGTTATTTTTGTATAAAAACCTATTTGCTTATCCTTGGTATATCTTGATTCTAATTGTGCTCTTTCCCACCAAGTTAGGTTGGATTCTTGATTTTATTTTAATGTT